TTCTCTTCGAGAAAACCTATAGCTACACATTAAAAAATGAGGGAAATATATTAGACTCTTTTTTGTTTTTTCCTTGTAAATTTCTAAAAATTTACATTAATCAATAAAAGAACTCGATCGTTTTTACGCACAATAAACTTTTCAAATATGATTCTTTCATATGATCAAAGTCCTTTCATTTTCGATCTTCTAGTTGGTTATAGTTTAAAAAACTGATATGATTATATTGTTTGTTTCGAAAACGATTTTTATAATTGATGAACTCAGTGATGTCGTCAACCCCCACATGAACACTTTGCTCCCCGCGTTTAAATTTGGTCCGTACGAAAAACCAAGTACAACGTTTCTGGACAAATTAAATATTATCGCATTTGTTGTTGTACAAATCCATGCATATACATCTGCCAAAATGTCGTCCACAATTAAGAAATAAAACTCCATGAATTGAGTCAACTTCAGTTTAATTTTATGAGCTAAGGATTTAATATCTCTTTTCCCATTTGGATCCAAGGTTTCTCCAAAAGTGGTTAAGACTTAAGGTTGTAAACTCTCTTTAATCTTCTGATTAGAAAAGTATTAGTAGCTTAGTAGCAGTTCGTATACCGTGGGATCATCCCACGGTGACCACCATGCTCCCACTCCCAAAACGACATAGTTTTGCACAATCTTTTTTTTAAAAAATCGCGTGAACAGTACACGCGTGAACAGTACACGCGTGTACATTAACTGTTTTTTCCTTCTTTTTGTCCAAGTAGCATGAATGATGTAACTCACATGTAAATATATGTAACTCACGTTATTGATCAATGTAACTCAAGTTCAGTCGAAATGTAACTTTGTCAAATACATAGTATAAGAAGTAAACTTTAATTTAAATGTAAATAATGATAAAAAAGAAGTCAAATTATTATACATAAGTAGTGTTATTGTTTTGCTTTTAATATCAGGGCTACAAAAATGATTTTTTTATATAAAAAATTTCTTTGAATATCAAAGGTTGATTGTGTTGTGTAACTCGCATTATATTGCAGTGTAACTCATATTATATAAAATGTAAATCACGTGCAAGTATGATGTAACTTGTTGATGAAAGTTGACATGTAACTCGATCACATTAATAGACATGTAACTTTAGACAAATCCCAATGTAACTGAATGTATTTTCAAATGTAATTTGAGCCAAATCAAAATGTAAATTGTCTAAACTGAAATATGTGTGTGTGTGTGTATATGAAGATTCCTAATCAACCCTAATGTTCTCATGCTTGGCTAGCAAAAACATCCATGACTCATCATTGATGTGCAATCTGAAGGAACGGAAGTGGGATTGTGATCGATTGTGTTTGCAGGTTTAGATAGGTCGTACAAGCCAAAGCAGAATAGGATAGCTGCAATAAGAGAAAGCCAAAGCTGAATAGGATTTAATTTGTTTGGCCGGATTTTATTTCGTGCTCGCCGGCTACGTGCAGAGCTCTGTCTCTGTAGGGAAAGGGCAGACTTGTTCCTTTTTTTTAACTAAACGCCACCGTTTTTGGGCTTGAAGCACGATGCTCACCGTGGTATGATCCCACGGTATAATTTGCGCTTAGTAGGGCTACTCTAGAATCCTCACCGACATTCCACAACTACTGGAACAAAAGGAAAATCAGTTTGACAAGGCTCCCACAACACCCATAGTCGAAATTGGCTAATCTGAAGGGGGTGTTCGGTTAGGAGCCTATAAATCATGTTTTGACTGATTTGACCATTATTTAGCTTTTTCACCAAATGAATTGAATATTAGAGATGTGTGGTTAATGACTTTTTCACTTGGTCTTTTATCCCAAACAGCCTAAATTGTTAAGTCAATAAATATGGAGTTTAGGTTTTCGCTTTTTCATTATTTGCCACTACATTCCTATTTGTGTCCCTTTCTCTTCTGATAATTTCTTTTCGTATTAGCCACGCTTCTCTTTCTAACCGACATCCACTCAGGTAAACATCTTCCGCCAAGGCTTCAAAGAGTAAAATTCAGCGGTGGAAGCAAGTGCAACACAGGGTTGGAATCCCTTCGTAGTGGTTAAATAATCCATGTTTAAGTGGATGATACTTTAATGGGAATCCCTTCGTAGGGTTGGACTAAAACATTTTCAAAATTCCAACATAGGACTGTCATGTTTTTTATTCCCAAAATAAGATTAATTACTGCCATGTTTAGAAAAAACTGCCATGTTTGAAGTCTGATAATGCCAAAACATGACAGTATTTAGTCCTATTTTGGGAATAAAAATATGACAGTTCTATTTTGGAATTTTCAAACTGTTTTAGTCCTATTTTAGGTAATATCTCTACTTTAATTTGGGGAATTGGGGGTGAACCTAACGTTTAGCTAATAGGGATAATGCATAATCACTTTTTACTTTGGGAGATAAATGACCATAAATGTTTTAGAATATGTGTTTAATGTATGGATTACTCCCTATATACTACGTATGTATCATATTAGTTATATATTAATTCATGAAAAACAATGCTTAAAATAATTAGTGTGTGTTTATAATTTTTTAGTTTTTAAAATCATAAAAAAACGTATGATGCAAGTAGTTGTACGAATTAAATTAATAAAATTTTAATTGATGCCTTTAAAAGTCATTTAACAAGTTATTAGCTGATTGAACACAGCCGTTTTACCAAATATATTAGTGAAATAAAACTTATTTAATTACAAAAACATGATTAATAGTTACTCCATATTATAGTAGTGTCATTGAATTTACCTGTAAAAATTGAACATAAGTTCTTATAACTAAATTACTAGTATAGTCACGTATGACACATATGATGTCACATTTCCAAAACAGCCTTTATTTAGTTTTTTTTTTGAAAAGGTTATTGAAAGACAAAGATACGACTAAAGTTTCTATGAATATAACATCAGAGTCACTTAAGTGTAAAACTTGAAACCAAAAATAGTCATTGAAAGTTACTACTATAGTCACTAAACTTAAGATGTTACAGTTTTGTCCACCGTCTTTATTTTAGTTGTAAATTGTCATTATTTTTTCTTTTAGTTATAAATTGTCATTATTTTTTATTTTAGTTATAAATATGTATTAATTTAGTTTGATCAAATTAACTGATTATGCTGAAACTGATTAAGTTCTAGCTGAATGTGTTAAATTATGAAAGAATTACATAAGAATATATTACGGAGTATATTAATAAAATACAGAACAAATAATATTATAATAGCTAAAATCATCATTTACAGTAACCTAACCAATTTAACCATAAAAGTAACATGAACCTTACTTATTTTAATTATTACAGCACATGGAGAAATAAAAAATATATATTTGATAAAAAATAAATGATAAAACCGATAAATAAAAAATATGTATGACCGACCTCTAAAAATTAAATACGGAGTAATAACAAAACTCATGCTCCGCACAAACCAAGTGAATTTTTATCAATAATAAAGTAAATAATAACACTAATCTCCAATGACATAATGTGAAGGGGCATTTGGCATGAGAGAGATAGACACAAAATTTTGATTTTATAATATTTATCTTTCATTCTTTCTACGGTTTGATGCGTTTTTGGTAAGTTTTTCTCTACAATGTCAATCACAATATCTATATCTAGACATTGTGATTGACATTGTGAAGAAAAACTTACCAAAATGATGTAAGATTCTTTAAATATGGAGAGAGAGATTTTATTTATTGTTTTCTAATTGGCTATTTCTCATGCTCTCAGGGCTAAAATATCATTTCGGATTGGTGTAATTCGAAGATTTTGAGAGATATATAAAGATAAATGAAAAAAGGGTCATATAGGGTCTAGAACTTACAAAAAAAATGTCAAATAATATATATATAAATTCTAATTTTTTTGAATATTTATTAAACAACTTTCTATTTTTCACGCATTTTTCGTATTAAATAAAAAAATAATTCATAATTGTGAACAAAATAAGGATAATGGATAAAATTGTGACTTATTAACTTTTGGTATTTATAATTTGTGTTTTACATAGTATTTAGTTTCATTTTTGTTCACAAATTCTATTTGAGAAGTTTTTCCTAAAAGTCGCTTTGATATAATTTAAACAAAATTATAGTCACTGAAAATTGTTATTTTCAAGGATTATTACTCATACTCAAGACAATTAATAAAAAATACATCACAGTTCACTTTAGACTAATAGTGTGCACACAAAAAACGATTCGAAACTACATAAATTAATAGATTTTTTATATATTCAATTTTAATGTCATATTAAAGATAATGAAAAATAAGAATCTTTTTCTTATAACAATCAAAGTAAAAATAAAAAAGTTATAACAATATAACACATACTACCTCCGTCTCTTAAAACTTTGCCAAAGTTGACCGATACAGAGAATAATAAAGTAAAAACTGTGTAGTTGAGATTTGTGCAGAGGAAAGGGAAATAACATAAACCACAAAATAATTGATTAAAAGAGAAAGTGACAGAATTCTTGGGACATCCCAAAAAGGAAAGATGACAAAGTTTTAAGGGACGGATGGAGTAAGTTTTAATAAGTGCTAAATTACTTTTTATTTTTATATATGCAATATTGGTGTCATATGATATTAATAAAAAATTATAAAATTTGATATATTTTTTGTGATAATAAGAATATAAATAAAAAAGATATAAGACTTTAAAATAATATGAGGTTTTATTTGTGTGTTTCAATGATCAAGTGAAAGTGACGTGAAATGGAGAAAAATGGTGAAGGCACGTGGCATTAAAATAGGAATGGAGAAAAAATAGGATTGAGGGACATGTAAGTTTATTTAAGGGTATAAATGTCTTTTAATGAGTTATTTGTTTTCTTATATATAAATAGAATAGAGTAGAATAGATGAGAAATATCCGTCCCGTCTTTTTGCCACCAAGCCCCAGTAAATCTAGAAATCACCCGGGCCCCAAACTGTCCAGTTTAGGAATCTACGGGCGGCTTTTGGGTCAGTCTAGCCAGGCAATTGCTTTGGGCCTCACATGCCAATGGGGCTAAAATAAAACTACGAAGTAGCGACCGGCATCTGAAGTAGCAGCAACCCGCAATCGGCTTCCCAAGCACGGCAGCGACCGTGAGCCACCGCCCGAACGTCTCGCCGGAGCCGCTTCCTGACGCCGACTTGGGTGAGTGAATCTCCGACTTCTCTAGTTCTCTCCTTCAGTCCTTCTCTTAGTATCTTACTACGTATTACTCTTCGTCTCGTTCTCTCATTTGATTGATTTTGTGTTTAACATTTAGAATTTAGACATTAGTCGATTAATAGTGAAATACATAAGTCCAAAGATAAGCCAGAAGGCCTGAAGCCTACAGCAGACGGCAGACAAGCACAGAAGCACTCAAGCAGTAAAGGCAATTGTTTTTTTACTATTTACGTTAAATTCCTAAATTGCTAAATGTTAAATACAAGTGAATAATTAATATAAGTGGTAAAATACATGAAATAATTAATTTGATGGTATTAGTACTAGTCAAGTAGTCTTTTGTTTAATTTGTCATTGTATTTAGAAGTTTTAGATTTTTTTAATTGATTTGTTTGTGATTTTTGTATTATCTATAAATATGTACTCTGTAGGTATTATTATCTATAAAGTGATGTTATTACTGATTTGCACTTCAAAAGGCAAGAAGAATAGGCCCATAGGGTGTTACAAGTACAAATTTGCAGTGTATTTTACATATGTTTGCATTTAAAAAACCTATCCTTTTGAATATTAAAAGCATTATGCCGTGCACTTTGAATATGTTTTTGTATATGGTGTTTTTTATTTAATTTATCTCATTTTCAATATGATCTGTGCATAGTAATTCTTTTTTTGTCTAGGGCCTCCAAAATGCTCAAGATGCCCCCGAACCTTCCACCTGGTAAGAGTTGGGGTTTCATCATCAAGTTTTTTCTAATTCAATACAATGTTTTTGGGTTTCCGTTTCAGTGAAAGGTGAAAAAGTTGAATTTTGATTTGATTTCATGCCTTTTCACCGTGGAAGGGTTTAGTCCTGAAATGAGGATGCAGTCCAGCTTTTGTCGAAAACTATTCACTTCTTCTCCGCATTTGACTCCCATTCAACTCCCGTCTCCAAAGTATTCTTCCATAACACCCTATGCCTTTCATTATTTTATTTTTATATTTATTTTTACTTTTGACAGAGAACCTGCATTTTCCAATGAACTGTTTTGGTATTTTGTTTTCTTGGTGATAGTTTTTCCTTATTAAATCTTAGTGAAACACATTTATGGTATGTAAAACCCAATGAAGTGAAGAGCGAGGCACTGTTAGAAAAATACATGGAAATTTTGTCACCAACTGAGAAGGAAAATGTGCTTCGTATGGCTGGAGATGAGCACAAGAAGACTGCACTGCTTTCTCGAACATTGGTCCGTACAACCATTGCCAGATGTAAGTTAATGCCGCTGATGTTATTTTATGGGATTCTGCTGTGTATGTGATGAAGCTGTGATTTTTTTTGTTAACACTGGTTTTGCTTAGATCAAATCAGTTCTCATGTTGATCCGAGATCTCTGAAATTTAGAAAGAACAATTATGGGAAGCCTGAAGTTAGTTCTTATTTTTTGTAGATTTATTTCTTTATTTACGCTCATGTGATATATGGCAACCTATCTAATAATCGTGATAGGTAGAATGGCAACATAGTGATCATTGGCAGTCACCCCCATTGCATTTCAATATGTCACATACCAATTCTCTTGTAGCTTGTGGTGTAACGGGTGGTTCCCCGGTTAGTTTTCTAACTCTTCATGTATCAGACATGTAGTACTTAGGGTCTGTCTGGTTAAAGAGATTTTGAACAGAAGACTTTGGAGGGTTTAGTCTTTAATTTAAGCAATAGAATATAAATATAAATGGAAAAGGATGAGTGATTATAAGCATTTTAATATTATGTTGATATCTCAAATTTATAAAATCTCAATTATTTATCATAATATAGACTAAGACCTCCAAAGCCTCTCTTGTTCCTCTTCATAACCTTCAATTTGAATAGGGTCTTAGAAGACGTTTCTTCCCATCTTTAAAAAAGGAGTCATGTTTGTAATACCCCATTGGTGTATTAAAAATGAAACTCTTTATTAAGACGGGGTGTTACTGAATACTGATAAATTAATATAATAATAGTATGTCTCATTAAAAATGTGTGAAGTAGCAATGCGCCAATGTTTTCCTTTTGTAGATCGGTATTGATGTAGAAGAAAAGCAGAGGGCAGTAAAAAACAATATTTTAAGCTTAGCTCGGAGATACTTTTCAGGACCCGAATTTGAATTTTTAAGTTCAATAAATGATTCTGAAGCTCAACACCAGGAATTTATAAAGCTGTGGACCATGAAGGTCAGTTTATGTGAATGTGTAACTGTCACATTTTGCACAACATTTCTAGTGTGTGACGTAATATTTGCTAGCAGGAGGCATATGTCAAAGCACTGGGTGTAGGCTTCTCAGGATCTCCGTTCAAGACATTTACTCTTCGTTTTACGCGCTCTTCCGAAAGAAGCTCTCTTGTCAATTTGAATTCTGATTACAAGGTATGTAAAAAGCCTATCTGGTGGAGGGTAAATTTGTTGAAATAATTGGTTGAATGTTTTGATTTTTTAGTGTTTGAAAAGGTTGAATAAACTACTCAGGCTTAATTATAAGAAAAGCATTTAATTTTTAAAAATATTTAGGGGACACAATACCCAAAGGTTCAGAGAGGGGTAGCAGAAGGTTTGGATGTTGGGCTTTTGGCCTTATTTATCTTAATATAAGCATTTTCCAGTCAAAAAAAAATACCCAAAGGTTCAGCAAAAAAGTAACATTTGCACAAATTTTTGTTATGAATCAATCCATTAACATAGTGGTAGAAAATATGGCCGATAAGTTGAGAAACTGAAAAGGTGTAGTACCAGTCAAAACCTTTCATTAGAATTAATGACAAGCTTCAAATTATTCTAATGATATTGCAATATATATCAATCTAAGACTCACTTTCCTAAACATTAGTTTCTATCCAAATATTCACTTCCAAACAGTTTTCAATTTCTCTTCCCACACAACGTTCTTTTTAGTGGTTTGCAATTATATATCTCCATGCCGACCCCAAAATCTTTTAAGACTAAGGCCTTGTTTGGTTCAAAGGAGGGGAGGGAAGGGGAGAGTCAAGGAGGGAAAGGAAGGGAAGGGGAAGGAAGGATTTTGATAAAAATTTGTGTTTGGTTGGAGGAAATAGGAGGAAAAGTTTAATGAAAATATTTTCGCAATTTACTTTTATTTGATACAACAACAACATCCAAGCCTTAGTCCCAAAAGATATTGGGGTCGGCTAACATGAATCGATACATGATATCACAATCAAAAGGAAAAGAAGGAATAAAGATAAAAAGATAAGCTATTATGAAAAGATAATATAAAAAAGATGACTATATATAAAAATGATAAAATAAAAAGGCTGCAAATAATGCATATATATATATACAAGGATAAAAAAAACTAGGAAAAAAAAAAAGATGAGGGAAAAAGATTATCAAAAGAATTTTTCTTACATGTCTAACTATTGTGAATATTACTCTTATGGTCATGAGTCATAATTTTATTTGATTTGATTTTTTACTTTTTTAATTTCATAATTTTTCATTTTTCAGTTTGGATTTTTTTTTACATTTTTTTATTTTTAATTTTAAAAATTTTTAATTTATAATTTTTTAATTTCTAAAATTTTTAATATTTTAATTTTTTAATTTTTTAATTTTTAAATTTTTAATTTAAAATTTTTAAAATTTTCAAAACTTTTTGTTTTTTAACTTTTTATATTATAACGTTTTGTTCATTCACGTAGGAGATGAATAGCTTGTGGTTATCAACACGTTTCCTCCGAAATACCCCGATTTGGGGGGTTTAGAATGAGAGGAAGTGGAGGATTTTGAAAGCCTTCCACTTTCCTCCCCTTCCCCCCTATTTCCTTCAACCAAACACACTCAAATCCCCCACTTTCCTCCCCTCCCCTCCGAAACCCTCCAACCAAACAAGGCCTGATGCTTGGATTTTGTTGTTGCAATCATATATCTCCATTTAACTTTTCTGATTCAAAAGCGCAGGCTCTTGAAATAGCAGTAGATCAACAGGACCATCCTAAAAAAATAATGAGTTACTGGCAGTTTGCGCTTATTGAGTTAGATGGTTCCCATTATGCTGCCATTTGCACCAAAAAAGGTTGTGCAACTGAGGTTTAGACACAACTATTATCTACAGACTACAAATTTATGAGTATGAGTTGTCTACAATGTTGCAAGCTAATTATTCTCAAATCTGTAGGTGAAGTTAGTAAATCAATTAAAGTATGGAAGACAGTTCCATTTCAGGAAGATGTGTGCGTTTCCGGAACTGATGCAGTCGTAGAAGTGAATTAGATTCTTTCTCTTAGTGTATAACTTCATGCGTCTTCGCCTCTTCCACAAAGCTTGCTAAGGGGATGGCTACTTACCTTCTCTTTGATTGTTTTGTTTTGGTAAACATAGCATTAGTGTAGGAAGTTTCTCAAATCAATGTCATGTAAAAAGTATTCACTTTTAGTTGGCATGTGAAGCAACATTTCATTAATTTCAATATAACAATAAAACTTGATGTTCGACGATGTGCATTAGTTACTACTCTCCGTAGTTCATAAACTTTTCGCGTCATCCCAATTTACGTCCAAAACTGTTTTTTTTTTTGTGTATTAAAGTTCAAAGTAAAACCTGTGTTTATGTAATGTGTATGTCTGCAAACTAAGCAAAGCGTGTGTAACGTGTGTATTTATGCATATTTGTCAAATCATAAGTATTGGTCGAGTGTTTTTATCCAACAATTTCCTTGGATTGATTTTTCTGGGTGAGCATTCAGTAGGTCTGTCAAATATATATATCCCATTCAGAAGTTAGAACCGCATAACCAACCATTAATTCTAGACTACAAGATTGATAACTCAATATCATCATTAGACTTGATAAAAATACTAAAAATTTCAGTATGCTGATAATCAATCATCGAAATACAGCATGATAACTCCTTATGAGTATCATACACTACACTGTCTCTCTTATAATTTGTCCGTGCATATAACCTGTTATGCAATGGTGTTGCGGCGGGCCAGCAATTCCCGGAGCAATGAAAATAATGAAATGCCGGGAATTTTAATGCTTAACTAGTTGCTAACCGGTTGCGCTGAATTTTAAGGGATTAGCTTGATTCTTTTCCTCCATATCGAACAAAAAAGAACACGAGAAGACATGGGTAAAATTGACATGCATTTACAAGTTACAACCCTGTCTCATCTTATCTAACAGTATCATACTATCATGTTTCCCTTTTAGAATCCAAATTCATAATATCACTTTATTTTCGGGATTTTTTTATATAGATGTCGATCTTAGCCTTAAATGTAACTATGTAAGGGTAAATAAAATTTTGTTATAAGGGTTACAGAGTAAACCTTCTACAAAAAACTAATAGGGGAAATGTGTTTCACTTTTTAAAAAATTTGTGCCCAAAAAGATTTAAGATGACGGCAGTATTGGTTAATGGTTTTACCACTTACCAGCCTAAACTAATGTTTCCCTTCAGTTTGGGTCTTGGCTTTATCAGTTATTTACTCACATCTACCCCTGTTTAAGGTGGCAGTACTAAATATGCATAACTAACACGCAATTGAATACTTCAAAAGAATATTTACTTGCTAGAAATGTTATCAGAACCTGTGTGCCAGAAGTAAAATTGGCTTACATTCCTGAGTATCCAAGTTACTAGAAAGTGGGCAAATATGAAAATATTACAGAAAGACTGGTTGCTCATATTTATAACCTATTTCAGAACTTTCCGGCAAATAATTTTGTTGACCCTCGTACACAGGATTAGCCATGGAATGATACCAACCTACAATCAAAAAAATATGGTTATCAACAACAGCAAAAAAGTTCTAAATGGAGCAAAAATAGATAAGCATGAGACAAATGGAAGTGGAAAACCATGAATGAAACTCAAGTCTTTTGAAGCTATTCAAAGTTTGCAAATAAAAAAACCAAGTAAGAAAAATATTTATCCACAAGGTTCCATAAGACAAAGATTATGATTTGCAATGATGGAAAAAGTCAAGTCTTTTTCCATCATTTGCAATGGAGCCAAAGATTCATTATTCTTTGGCTTGAGATTATGATGGAATAAAGCAAAATGGCTCACTAAACTGTCTGCGCTTCTTTGTTATGGAGCAGTAGTCAGTCCATGCAAGTTTGGACGCGATTTTCACTATGGGTCATCCGGAAACAGTCTCTCTGTGCTTTAGTACAGGGGTAAGACTGCGTACATCCGACCCCCCTTACCCCACCGTAGGTGGGAGTCTTTGCGGCACTGGGGTAAATGAAAATGATGAAATGAAGGTTCCATAAGACAAAATACAAGATGCTTTGGGAGGACAATGACATCTTTTAGAGCCGTAAAATTGGAATTGTACTTTATGAATGCCAGACTTATTGGAATATATATATATATATATATAGACACACACACACACACTTATCTTTTTTAAATAATGAGTAAAATAATAAGACTAATTACGATCAACCCCCAGGTTTGGTCAAAACTACTTTTGTACCCTGTGTTTTCAAAAATCATCTATTTATCCCTCATGTTCTATCAAAATAATCACTACATCCAAAGTGTAGGTAGAAACAGTATTCTAAAGCTAACAAAAGAATGTTAATGATCAATAAGTTATCCTAGATATAAATTTTTTGATGGTTCTAATCATCGCCAGAAATGATGGAAATATTAAGAATGTAATATAATGATATTTGTTGCTGCTGTTATGATAAGATGCTCAGCTGATAAAATCTAGTTGACCTTACTATTTTGTACTACAATAGTGTTTGCCATTGTTAATTTAAGCACTTTCCGACTTTTGGCTTTCAAAAAGCCAAAAGTAGTGTTTGCAAATGAAAAATTCTACTTAATCTAAGTAGTTTTAAGCCAAATATTGGAAGCTAGGTTGGGGATGCTTTGATCTGCTTCTAGGCTTTTTGGTAAATAAGCCTAACTCTAAGGGCAGTTCAATTCCTAAACAAATTCGTTTATCTCCAAAGCTACCCTTCGTCCTCACATCCTGCATTCCAGAACCAGCTTCCAGCATAAAAGAACCACCCTTCTACTTTCATCAATCATCAGTAGAATCTAGGACCACCGGTGGCCAAGCTGTTCTGCCGCCGATCTGTTCTGCTGCCGCTCTGTTCCGCCGGTGATGAAGACGAATGTGTCTCATGTGTCGTGCGGTGTCACCGCCGGTGGCCAAGCAGTACACAGATTCGACGGAGAGCTCCACAATTTGATTTGAAATTGAAGAGAGCTAGAAGTTTTTTCTAAAATAAGAGGGTTAATTAGAAGTATTAGAAGGCAGAAAGGTAGGAATATCATAGGTTGAGAATTAGAAGGTTTGAGAATATTGTGTATTGAGAAGTCCGAATGAGCTTCCGGCTTGTTGGGAAGGTGTGAGAAAACATAGCTTGAGCGCTCGAATGTTGGGCATTCAGTACGGAGTAATATTTAATTTATTTGAGGGGCACTTTGTACTTTAACAAAATACTTCACTAAAAAATCACTTTTTTACCAAACACTCCAACTTTTACCTTTTAATTAAAATCACTTCTATTTACAAACACTACCTACTTTTACTATAAAACACTTTTTCAATCTCTTAAATAAATCACTTTTGAAAAGCACAAACAAACGCAAACACTCCCTATGTATGTTACCAGGCTAGGTCATTGAACTGTATGTAAGACGAACAAATTACACAGTTTATTTTAGTATTTCCTGTCTAATAAATATTTACCTGTTCAATTCAACAAAAGTCTATGACTAGTAAATAACACGGCATAATATCTATGCATCGATCAGTAATAAAACTGACCCTTGTACGGATGTAATTGTCTATAATGTATAACTAGAAGATCAAAAACCATTTTCGTAATAAGCACAATAAAAATATCAATCAATCCTGTATCATGTAACCGTAATTAAGTCACAACAGATGTAATTTGTATGTACTCACGCCATCCTACTATCTTTAGAACATAAGAATCTTAAACACATATTAAGTATTGTAGAATTGTGTTGTTCGCCGGGGGCGTAGCTCACCTGGTGGGAAGGGGCATCACACTTATTCACAAAGGTCCCAAGTTTAACTCCAAACAATAACTCGGGCTATAACCTCACTCTCTTTCCACCCGTGTGGAATCAAACTCAATTTACATCGTCTCCATTAAGTGTCCGGTCGGTTCTAGAGTGTCATCTTTTTTCGAATTGAAGTTATTCTTGATTGAATTTACTAAGTATGAATGATTTGGAACAATACAATTGTTTTAGTGTATTACCAAATAAAGTACTCGTATGAGGAAAACTTATTAAAGTATGAGACAGAGTAATTATGGACAGAGTAATTAAAGTAATTTATACATAAACTTTTTTCTTGACAATAATATCTTTATACTCCCTCCGTCCCTAAATAAAAGCATTTGTTTCCTTTTCGGGTCGTCCCTAAATAAAAGTTCCCTTTCCTTTTTTGGCAAACAAAACAGTGCAAAACAGTGCCAAACAGTGTCAAACAGTGTCCAAACAGTGCCAAACGGTACCAATCAATCCCACTTTCTTAAAATGTGTGGAAAATGAATGGATACTTTTATATAGGGACGGAGGGAGTATTATGTTTCCAACATCTTCATATATATAGGATACGGTTATGGTAAGAATGAATCTTCTTGTGGGAAATGAGAACAACCCAAAATGATGCACATTCTGGTTCACAGCGGTGCACCATTATGATTAAGATAATGCACCATTATGATGCACATTCTGGTTCACAGCGGTGCACCATTATGATTAAGATAATGCACTGTTCAAATTGGCAATTCTTTTTAATTTATTTACAAAAGTGCCACCACATTAAGATAACCGTTTCACATAATGCACAACTGTCATATTTAACACACCAGATTCATTATCATTTCTCTCCTTACATTATATTCTCATTTTTATCCAAATTCTATAAATTCTACATATGCGTGTACATGTGTTTGTATAAATATAAAATCATTATTGGCATTTTTGAGTTTCTAATGATGATTTCATTTTCTTTAAAAACAAACTAATTAGACGTAGCCGACAAATGGATTTGAAACATATTGTGGGGGTAATTATAATATGATCTTTTAACTTAATTGATTTTAAAACACAGGGGGGGAATGTTATTCTAGTAAACCTGGGGTAGTAGTAACTAGCCCAAAATAATATCCAAATCTTTGGTGAGAATTATCGCTCAATTGTGCACCCTTACCAAAACAAATTCTCTCATCCACAAATTATTGTTCTATCTTCAATTAGGGTCGCTCTATTCAAAATCCATCAATATTAAAAATGGTTCAGTTATCAACGTTAGTTGAGTAAGACTCTAGGCCCATGTTTGATAAGCGCAATTATAGATGAAAAGGTTTGTTAACAATTGTAGCTAAAATCCCTGAAGTTATCTGACTATTGAACTATAACAAATTGTTGAAGTTAATTTCCCTTGGTAAACTGAAAGTATCTAAAATGATATTTTAAAATAACTTTTCCAAACATTTTGGTTAAAAAAAAGTTATGCATTAAAGTCATTATCAGAAAAATAAG